TATTTCATTCAACCGATTGCCAACCGGTTATATTAACTATCTACTACCATCTGTAATTTTCGGTGCTTTACTCAAATTATTGTCTTGTCTTTATGTTCATTCATTTTCTTTTCGGACCCTTTACTCTCTTCTTATGTCATTTTCATACTATATCGATTCTGCCAACTGATTACAACCGGTTGTATCGGGTCAGCCGATTAAGAATTTCCTCAACCGGTTAACCAAAATTTATTCGATTCGGGTCGATTAACCGATTATAGCCCAACCGATTCAAATCACTACTTGTATCATAGGTGTCAACACATGCCACATTAGTAACTTGACGTTTAGCTTCAGTTTGCTTTCTTCTGCGCAATTCTATTTGTTCATCATTTTTTTTTCACGCAGGCGAAAATATGATTGCCTTTGGGCACTTCAACGTTGCTCAGCTTCTTCAATTGTTTCATTTGCGATACGTTGAGCACAGGCTTCTCTGGCCAAATGGTTTTTTTGTTCACGAAGGCTTTCAGAAGATTCAGCTACAGGAGATTCTTCTGCATGTGACAAACACCTTGCATATCATTCTCGTTCTATCTGATTTTTACGTTCACAAAGGATTTTTTGAGTAGACTGTGTGGTAAAATCTATTTTAGACATGTATAACTGAAAAAAAGTAAGAAAGAAAAGAAAGAATTATACAGCATTTTTTTTTAGCAGTATTTATAATACACATGATAATTAAAATTACTATCTGATTGGCCCCCTGTATATAACATAGCACAAAAAATGGATCTCTGAATTTAGAGAATTTATACTAATTAACTATTATACATTTAATACTCTAATTAAAATTTTACATAATTTTTAATAGTGTCTACATCTTGCAACAAAAGCCTTAAAAACGACAGAACTTAATATCAACAAAAAATTGAGTTATATTTGAGGTGATTGAGAGATCGGAAAATCGAATTTACATATATAAATTTTAATGAATACTATAAAAAAAAACCTTTTGAAATAATTCATTTTTATATGATACTGATTTAACTAGAAATTCTCTATGTTTACGTATCCTAACGAAAATAGTATAAAGAATACCTCTTGATTGAAAATAGATACTATTCTGAATGACTTTGAAGTATTTTTATTAGTATAGTATGGTATGCTTAGTCCTAAATTCAGAAGCCTATGATAAGAAAAGTGCAATGATTTGAGTAAAGCACCGAAAATTACAGATGGTAGTAGATAGTTAATATAACCGGTTGGCAATCGGTTGAATGAAATA